ATCGCCGAGTCTGTGGGGCCAGCGGCTGGAGCACTTGGCTGAGGCCACCCCTGCAGGCCCCCCGCCCCACCTCGCGGGGCTTCGTGCAGCTCCAGTGAGCTCACTCGGCCAGGCCACCCGAGGAGGCCCCTCTTCCTCGGCTCCAAGGAGGCCCCACTCGGCCCCGCTCCACCGGACGCCCGCCGCCGGCTTCGGCAGGCGCTCCTAAAGCCCTGTGGGCTCAGGGGCCCGGCCCTGGCCAGCAGAGTGGCCCCCGCAGTGTTAATGAAGGGGCTTCCGGGCTGCCCCGTCCCCGGAGGCAGACAACACAGCGATTACAGCCCTGGCAGCCGCCTTCAGAGGGGACCCTGCCGGGCCTGCCCCCAGTCCCCACCGCCTGCGGAGTCCGCCCGCCGCCGGACCCCGGCCCTGGGTGGGAACCCCCGGGGCACACGCGGGCCCTGAGAGCAGGCCCGGCCAGCGCTCGACCAGCCTTCGCCCTGGTCCCTGCGTCTCACCCGCGTCGGCCACGTGCCGGCCGCTTCCGAGCCGCTGGGCACGGCTTTTCTGTTCTAGGCTCGCCTTTTCCCCGCTGCCTGTGTGCGGGACCTTTGTTTTATAGGCGCTGCTGTTTTTCATACTGCTACGGTTTTTCTTGGCCTCTGCAGATCACAGAATTCTTTTTGGACTCTTTGAAATAGTGCATTTCTTTTTTGACCCGGGAGTTTCGGGGAAGAACAGAGGAGCCCGCGGCCGAGACACCGTTCTCGCTGCTGGGGTTCATCATGTGACACTGTCAGGCTTGGGACAGTCCTCCCGGCAAAGCACAGGCGGCCCCCCTGAATTTAGATAAACCACAGGCATATTTCGGGGAGGTCCCGTGCAGTACTTGGGATACACTTGCACCCCTGAACGTGGTAGTCGTTGATGTGAAATTTACGTTTCACGGGGCCTCTTATATTTCTCTTTGCTAACAGGGCAGCACGGCTTAGATAGAGTGGTCTTAAATTAGGTTTGAAGTTGCGTGTCTTCTAAATAGATGGCTCAAGGGGTTCTGGTGTCCTCGTCACTGATGAGAGGACTTCGGGGGGCTGCGGTGTGTAGACTGCATGGCCGGGGTCCCAACAACGCACTGGGGGCGCCCGGGGGCCCTGTGCGCAGGGTGTCCACGGCCGGCGCCCCTGCCCTCTGCCCTCTGCCCTCTGCCCTCCGCCTTCCGCGGGGTGGCACGGCCTCCTGGCTCCTCCGCTCAATGGCCATGTGACCTGATTGGAGCCGAGGGCCGCGTGCCGAGGCTTGTATTAGTAATGGACAGCGATGGCTGACTTGTTTATACATGAATACCCCAGACGACAGTTTTAATAACTGAGGCACACTTTGAAACCCTGCTGACGTGTACTTGGAGGGACTGGGAGGGGGTGGGAGTCGGCCGACGACAGGCGGGCCGGCCCTCTCCGGAAGGTGTGGGGCGGCCCGGGAACGGATGAGCCTGTCTGGGGAACCGAGGGGTCGGTAGGCAGGGGGCAGGCAGACGTGTGCGTAGCATGTTCCCTGTGACGAGAGCGACCTCCCCGGCCAGGCAGAAGGGGAGGTGGAGGGACAAACGGGCCTGGGCGAGCGGGCCAGCCACGGGGGAGCGGGGGGTGTCAGGGGAAATGCCAGAGAGACGAGAGCTCGCTACCTAAGTCGGACGAGAAATTGGGAGGCACCCTAAGGGGAGGTTGTTTGGTCATCTTGATGGAGGGCGAAGGCAGCGAGCACACTGGAGACTCCATGGACTTGAACTTTGAGAATCAAACATCAAATTAGATCTGAAAGCAGGCAGGGCAGGGGAGCTCGGGCTGCCTGCGAGACCCAGCGTGGTTTCCTGCGGGGGGAGAGCTCGTCCCGGGGGTCAGGGGCACCAGGAGTGACGCCCTGCTCTGCGCTCTACACTGTAGACGGACCCCCGGGGGCCCCCGGGGGCTGCTGGACCCAGCGGCCAAGGGAGGCCGCCCCCAAGTGGGGGCTGTAGCCTCACACAGGGTGGGCGGTGGGGAGCCCACGCGCCCCCAGGCACGTGCCCAGCAGGCCTGCCAGGGTCCAAGAGAACAGACAGAGAGCAGACGAGAAAGTGTCCAGCCTCGGCCTGTGAGCCCTGCTTGTGAAAACCACAGGGTGAGGCCAGAGAAAAGTTCCGGAACAACCAGGCGTTCCCTCCCCCTCGGATACTAGGACGTAGGCAGTTCTCTGTTTGGGGCAGCGGGGTGAACAGCGAAGGTCCGACAGCATGTGTGTCGACCCTTAAAAATTTACGGGTGACCTCTGGCCTGGCCCTTCTGTTCCTAGGGATCCGAGGCCGCGACCAGAAAGGAGGACAAGGTTTTATCCACAGAGGTCTCCAGTCGACTGTAATGGACACTCCCTGAAATTTGCAAAAGACCAAAGGCATCTACTGGAGCAGTTTAGAATCCAAAAAATAGTTACCAAAGTTTTAGGTTAACCTCTCGTTGTGTGGATGGGGCTGGGGGGCGGGGGGGGGGGGAGAGGATGCGAAACGCGAAACTGTTCACGCGCTGCCTGCAGCGGTGTCTGGTCTACAGCGGTGCCCCGTTAACTGTCCCGTCGTGGGGCGAGGCGGATTTTTTCTTCTCTATCTGCTCCCTATTTCCAAAAATTTAAACAGGTCATTTTAGAATGCTGGAAAGAGAGAGCTGTTTCTCTCAGATGGGTGGAGGAACATTGGCCGTGGAATCGTGGAAACTAGAGGAGGAACGCCCAGATGAGGAGACCCCACTGGATTTGGGGGCTGGGAGGCGCTGCTTCCCTCCCCGGCCCCACCGCAGCGGCGCGCCCGGGGCAGCCCCCCTCCTCCCAGGCAGCCCGCCTGCCAAACCCATTCCTCCCCCTTCCCTCCTCACGCCCTCACGTTCTGGAAGCCGGGGCTCCCCAGCTGGGGCCCGCGGAGAGCAGCCGTGGTGTCCACGTACAATGGGGGTGGGGAGCACAGGAGCAGTGGGGTGCAGTGGGGGCGGGGGGCGCGTTGACGTGGAGCATTTCCGAAATTTGGGTTTAAATCCAGCAACGTGGGTCATGGGCCGTGATTCCGGTTTTTCATCAGGGTCATTTGGAACCGCAGGGGATCCAGCTGGATCGTAGATGCTCTCCATAAATATTTCTGACATGGCTTGCACCCCTGTGCGCACGCGGACGTGCGTGTTCCTTTTGTTTTTTCTCTGAAGGAACAGACCCAGCTGACAGGACAAGGGTCAAGATAGCCTCCTCGACTTCTTTCTTTACTGCTTTTAACGTCTACATTTTTATGAGTAGCAAGTACTGCATCTGTGATTAAACACATAAAGAAATCTATTTCTTTTGACAGCGGAGAAAACAGAGAGAGGAGGGGAAATATCTCCAGGACCTTAGGGCTGTGTTTGGTTTCCCCAGGTTTCCTGGGAGCCACTCTGGCAAGAAAGCACCTTGTCAAAACGAATGTGCTTTTTTTGAGTTTCTCAGGCAACTTGGGTGGGAAGGAGCATGGGCTCTGCAGCCAGCGGCCTGGGCCCGGGCCCGGGCCCGCCCCAGCCCCGCGGGGTGACTGCGGTGGGCGGAACCCCCCCATGCCTCAGTGGCCTCGTCCACGCCGTGGGCGCCCGGCCGGCCCTGCGGGGACTGTCCCACCCGGGCAGGTCCCTTTGCACCGGTAGGAGCAGGGTGACTGCACACTCAGCGTGCGACGCTGGCGCTGTAAGGAACTCCCAGACCTCTGCAGAGCTGCTGCGAGTTCACGGGGGCCAAGCTGGTGAACATTGCTGGGAAGCGAAACCTCAGTGGACTGAGAAAATGGCAGCTTTACCGCTTATTTTATACACTAGATTCAAAGGAGGAGACGTGAGGCGTGTTACAGGAACCCTGGCGGTGTCAGCTTGGGGGAGACAGCCGAGCGGGGCCGTGGGGGTCTCCGGGGTTGTATGACCGGGCCCGAGGGAGAGGCACACGGTGCCTTCGCGCTGGCGTGTGCGGAGAGGTAGCGCACACGGCGCGCAGAGGTGGGTCCGGGAGATGCGGTATCCCTGCGGGGCGCCGTGGTCCCGGGTCTGGCGCCCGGCAGGTCTGGAGGGGCGGAGCAGGCTGACGCTTCAAAGGCCCGTTCTCTCGGATGCAGAGAGACGGCGGGCAGCCTCCCTTGCGGGGAAGGCCGGCCTTCGTCAAGGAGGCTGCGGGCCCAGGACGGGACTGGCCGCCGTGGCCCGCGGTTCGTCAGGCGTGTGTGCGGTCGCATCAGCCCGTGGGCTGCTCCTGGTCTCCGAGTGTGGACGGCGGCACGCGGGCCTCCCCGGAGCTGGTCGGGCCTCGCGCGCGGCCCCTTTCTTGTCCCCACGTTTTATTAGTATTCGCAGTTGACTTTCTTTGCCCACCCTTCTTGCTCGTTCGGCACAGGCCTGGACCTAAAGACGAGGTATTAGTGAACATCATCAAAATGCCGAGGGGTTTCTTAAACCTGTAAGAGAAAACCGGTCTCTCCCCTGCCCACGTCAGTTGCTGCTAACATGTTGTCAACATGAAAAGACCCAGTTTATTTTCTTACACGTTAATAGATCTTTCAGTGGCTTGATCAGAGTCCCATGGTCTTCCTGAGTTGTGGGCTTGATCGTCATCTTGCTGGGATAACTTCTGCCTGAAATTTTCACCCTCACCTTGATGCTTACCATACAATGTCACCGAGCTCCTCCTCGTGCTTTGGCGGGGGGCGGGGGGCGGGGGGGGAGGCGCAGGGTGGGGAAGGGGCCATTAAAGCCCAACCTCAATCTCAGTCCTGAAAACAGGAGTGACTTCCTCAAACTCCCTTGCCAGGCAGTCTCCACTTTCTTAGGACCAATGTTCCTGTGGGGCAGACTTGAAACAACTGTCATTGGAAAGTTCAGTAGGCAAAGCAACGGAAAGTCAGTGAGGTGCTGAGAAAGAAGGGGGGCGCGGGGGGCGGGGGCGTGGAAAGGTTGCGTGCGCCTTCTGACCGGAGCCCTCTGCCCCTGTCTCCCCAGGACCAGGCGGAGCAGCCGCCCCCTCGCGGCCCAGGAGACCCCGCGGCACGCAGCTCCGCACCCCGGTCTGGCCGACTGGCGCATGCCCACGGTAAGGACGCCCACGCCCGGGGCAGCGCCGCTGGGACGTGGTATTCTCAGGCGTTGTTCTTCTTACTAATAGAAGAGGGTTCTAACCTTTTTCCCCTCAAAGAAAGCCCCATTCTAAGTGACAGAAACACACTTGGTTGTCGTAGTTTCATGTGTTCCTTTCCAGTGAACCGGCCTCAGTGAGCAAAGCTTCAGCAGCCGCTTCCTGGGAGGGGTCCCAGGACTTCGCAGGAACTCACTGCTGTGCGGGGCTCCACCCGCGACTCCCTCGTGACCCTGGCGTGGCGCGTCACGAGGCGCCCGGCCCAGTTTTGCGTGTGTACCCTTGGCGACGCTCTGCCTTTCTGCGGTCCTCCTCTTCCTTTCAGTGACCTCTGGCTCGGTCACCGTGGGGAAGAAGGGGGCAGCTCCGAGTGGGCCCAGGGCTGGGGAGCTGGGTGTCGGAAGACAGTCTCTGCCATGGACGGGTGGGGGGCAGTCGGCTGGGACCCAAGACGGAACAGGGCACGTGGACGAGGCTGGTGGTTTGCACTAGTGGAGAGTTGAAGGACAAGAAGTGGAAGGATTGGGACTAGTATGAATTAGGATAATTGGATTTCTAAAAATTGCCGCATGAGCCCTGTTTGGTGTGGCTCAGTGGATTGAGTGCTGGCCTGCGAACCAAAGGGTCACCAGTTCGATTCCCGGCCAGGGTGCAGGCCTGGGTTGTAGACCAGGTCCCTGGTGGGGGGCACATGAGAAGCAGCCACACATGGATGTTTCTCTCCCTCTTTTTCTCCCTCCTGTCCCCTCTCTCTAAAAATAATACATAGATAAAATCTTTTTAAAAAATTGCTTAATAGGAAAGAAGATGACGTTTAGGAAAAACAAAGGCCGGGGGCCAAGCCCGGATCTGAGGGGGGGTCAGGCGCTGAGAGGCCGCTCTGGGCCCAGCAGCCGGGGGCCCCCCCCACGTCAGGGGGAGTTGCAGGGTCGCCCCTGAGCAGACATTCAGGAGGCCGATGCAAGGGGAACGGGGCCAGCTTGTTAGCCTTGGCTGCGGACCCTTGGAAATTCGTGATTCGTGGCATTTCCACTGCTTACAAGCAGCCTCGTTTAGTGAGAACAATCTAAGCTCTGGTGTTATGTTCATGTGAACCCTATGTCACTGCTTGAATCAAACTGTTAGAGGGAAGCTCTCCCGGAAGAGCTTTGTGCGGCTTTTCTCTTCTCCGGGGCCTCTAAGCTGGGCATTCGGGGCCGTGGAGACCGCGCGCCCGCGCAGGCCGGGCCGCGAAGGGGAGCTTGGCGCGCAGGAGGAGGGCTGCCTGTTCCCCGGGAAGGGTCGCCCAGCCGGTGGGGGACGCCGGGCGCCGGACACGTCCCGGCACCCGAAGCCGGGCCTGCGGAGTGAACAAACCCGTCTCCATATGGACCTGGCTTCCTGGGGGACCACGCCCTGTGAGACGTGCCCACCTCATTGACCTCCTTCCCTCCAGTCCTCACCGTTCTGTACACATGGCGCGCAGGACAGGGGAACCGAAGGGCAGCCTGGCTCAGACACGGGCAGACGTTTGCCCAGAGCAGGTCTGAGAGCAGCGCCGCTGGCCGGCAGCCAGGGCCCCAGGGAACTAGGAGGGCCCAGGTCACCGTGTGTAGGCGGGGGCTGTTCCCTGCTCCCAAAGGACCCTGGAAACCGCGCGTGTGAGCCAGGCCGACCCACCAGCTTCGGCCCGCCGCCCCTACACTACCCACACGGCCAACCCAGCCCAGCCCCCCTGAACGAGCCTGTAGACCCCCACCCCGGCACGTGGCGCTTCCTCCGAACGCGAAGGAGAGCCAGCAGAGTGTGCAGATGCTAGCGGACACCTGCAGTAAAGGCCTGCCTGGGAGAGAGCGTTAGGAAAGCTCAGGGACACGACTTGGCAGAACCACGCCTGTGCACGGGGACAAGGAACCAGGAGCACGGTGGCACGGGGCGAAGCCGGGGCACACGAGCATGAGGCAAGTTCCTCAGAGGCCTAGGAAACGGAATCTCTAGCTACGGGCTTTTAAAGAATGAGGTCTGAGGAGAATGAACGCGCTGGAGTCTCCTCCCTGCACCCCAGAGGGGCCCCCGGGCCCAGACCCAGGGGCAGCGTCCTGCGGAGGAGGCTGCAGGCAGTGGGGGAGTGGAGGGGGCGTTAGAAGAGCTGCTGGCCAAGAACTGGCCAGCGTTACTGAGGCCCCGTCCCCGCACGGTGCTCAGAGAACTGAAAGGGAGAATGAAGACTGGTTCCGATCCGAAAACATGGTGCGCGAACCCGGAAAGCAGGAGACGCAGAGACGATCCGACGGGAAAAACCAGATTTTCCAACACGGTCACAGCCCTTGGGCTCAGAGCAGACTCAGGCGGGGGGAAGGGCGGGGTTTCAAAGGGCAGAGAGAGCGAGTGAGCGCTTCATCTAAATAGTGCCCCAGCAGCTAGGGAAAGCCAGAGAGAGGTTTGGGTTTGGGTTTGGGGGTGTTTGTTTTGGGGGTTTTTTTTTGTCGTTGTTGTTGTTGTTTTGGACCAAGATTGAGAAAATTGGTTACTGGCTATCCTTCCTAACAGAATTATTAGAAGTTGTGCTTCAGGACAAGACACATTAGTGTGCAGTGAAGGGGTGCAGTATTGTAGTTTTAATTCCACGTGAACTGTTAACATAAGGTTAAACTAGAACTTCGGATAATTAGACGTTGGGAATCTGTGTGTATCTTTAGAGAGCGGGTTTGCTCAGCGCGTCGCTGAGTCTCAGTAGGGCCCCAGCAAGAAGGGGAATGTGAAGTAACTTGAGACTACGCTGGGGAAAAGTATGCTTAGTTATGTACTTTAAAATATAATGTGTAACTAAAATACTGACCATAATTACTAAGAGAGTATGTATACCATCTATAGTTTCAAACTTAGCAGAAAAAAAAATAGAAGGGCCTTCTCAACCAACATCAAGTAGAAAAGGAAGAAAAACTAGATGAGAAGAAAAAAAAGGGGGGGGGCTAGCAAACAGAAAATAGACAATAAGGTACAAGAAGTAATTCCAAGGATATCCAGGACAGTATTCACCAGCCTCAACCACTAAAAATATTTAGAACCTGCACCCAACACGCAGACTCTTGATTCTTTTCCGAAATCTGGGTAACTTTTTAAAAAGTTGACCATGTATGGAAAGTTGCGCTAAATTTTAAGCAATCTATTTCATGCAAGCCACGGCCTTTCACCCAGTGTGATTTAATCAGAAGTCAACAGAAAAAGTTCAAAGAAGTCAACAGAAACTTTAACACACACCCTACTTCGCTCATGGGTTACAGAGGAATTCACAATGACAGTATCAGTTACCGAGAATGAATGAAACGTGAACGTACTACAGGTTGGAAGCTGTAACACGCCTTGTTAAAAAGGTGTTCGAGGCAAAATTTCCCAGCCTTTAAAGAAAGAAAAATTGAAATTGGGAGCATAAAAATGGAATATCTCTAAGGAACGTGGAAGGCATTAGAAACATGAGGATCAGAAATTACGGAAATAAGGAAGGCAGTATCAGCAGACAGGAACGAATTCGAAAGCCAGTCTTGTAAAATCTCCCGAGACAGCAGACCTCTAGCAGACCCTCGGGAGGAAGAGAGACACAGCAAACCACAAAAGAGCTCCTCGGAGAAACTGAAACAAGGAAACCGTGACCACCTCAGGCCAAGAAGTGTGAAAATAGGAGGGGAGTGGACAATGTATTGCAAACACATAAAAACAAAACTGCAACAGCCGATGCTGGCGAGGATGTGGAGCAACAGGAACTCCCGTCCATCGCTGTGGAAACGCACCGTGGCGCAGCCCCCGTGGAAGATGGTGTGGCTGCGGCTTATAAAAATAAACACAGTCCCACCGTGCGATCCAGCAGTCATACTTCTGCCCAGAGGAGGTGAAAACTTATGTCCTCACAAAAACCTGCACGTGGCTGTTTATAGCAGCTTTATTCATAGTTGCCAAATCTTGGAAACAACCAAGACACCCTTCAGTAGGTGATGGATAAATAAACTGCGGCGCATCCGGACAGTGGACGGTTATTTGGCGCTAAGAAGAAATGAGCTATGACTCTGTGAAAAGACATGGAGGAGCCGTAAAGGCATGTGACTAAGTGAAAGGGGCCCGTCTGAGAAGGCTGCACACGGCGTGGTTCCAGGTCTGTGACACTCTGGAAGGGGCGGAACCCTGGGGGCAGCAGCAATGTCCGAGGTCGCCGGACGTTTGCGGAAGGGAGGGCTGAGGATGTGGAGCCATGAGAACTTGGAGAGCAGTGAGCATATGGGGCTGAAAGGCACAGGCCTGTCCTCCCACTGTGTCCAAGTGCCACACGCTTGCTCCTCGGGTGTCCCGCAGCCCCGAGTGTCCTCGTCCTGGGTCACCACCCCTTTTCTGACCTTCCTGCGCCTGACGCGAAGAAGCTCAGAGCTCGGGGACTTCTTCACTGGACACTTGGGGCACCTGGTGGAATCTGACAAAGACCCAGGGCTGCTGTTCCTCCTCCCCCGCTTCCGAGGGCCGTCAGGCCCCGAGGAAGGCCAGGACAGACCTGGCGCCTGTGGGGCGTCTTGGGGGGGGCGTTGGCAGGTGCTTTGCAAGGGTCCTGACGTGCAGAATAAGAGATTCCCCGTGACTTTCCTTGACCTGTCCCTTCCCTCTGGCAAAGAGGATTTATTGTCCCCTTTTTCCCGGGCCCCGTCCTCCTTGTAAGCAGCTTATTGTTGTGTGACAGCTGCTACAGACGCTGCGCGCAGTTCCCAGCCGCGCGCCGTGGAGGGGACGTGTCTTCCTCTGGAAGACGCTCGTTTTGTAGCAGCCGCGGTTGCTCTTGAGAGGTCTCTCCAAGTATTCTATGACCTTTCATACCGTGCGGCGGGCAGCTCGGGGGCACCCGGGCCGTTCGCGCCGTGGGGCGACTATCCCCACTCTCCCTTTTAAAACCCTTTCTGTCACCCCGAACAGAAACTCTGCCCACCCGGTCAGTGGCTGCC